GAAGAGCGTGAATGAAACCTTGACGTGATGGAGGAGTCTCCTGCCCAATGCATGAGGCTTTCCAGGCCTGTGCACGCCCTGAGTGAGGCAGCCCTGGAGGCCTCCAGGTGCCAGGAGGGGAGCAGTAGTCAGTGCCCAGGTGGAGCTGGCTCTGCTCCTAGAGCAGTGTGAAGGGTCCCGCCCCTCTAGAGCACTGGAGAGAGTCAGAGTCTCTGCCTGGGGTCTGTCTGGCACTAAAACTTTGGGGGTCAGAGCTAGTTCAACTCTCACTGGCTCAGGTCCCAGGCAGAGCAAACTTGCGCCAGCCTTCCAACATCCTGGTGGTGTGCGACGTTCTTGAACTCCTGCGTTTATACCTGTCCAAATCCGAGAATCTGAGGGCTGTATGTCCTAGCAGTAGCCCTCAGTGGGGAAACTGCTCCTGTTTACAATTATAGCTTGTTCCTCACTAGGAAGGGTTGTGTTGCTTTCTCTGCAGCGCTTGAGGTAAAGTGGCAAGGCCTTCTGCAGAGGCATCTGCGAGGAGCCTTGGCATTGGAGATGCTTCCAGTGTCACGCACCTCTGTGGTCCAAACCAAACTCCAAGTGGGGAACCAACCTGCTGCATGGGTGTCTGAGGTTTGTGTCTTGGCCCTGCATGAACACGACAGCCGCAGGACTTGGGCATGGCCACGTGACCCTTCTTGAGTGCTGGAGGGAAACAAAACAGGAGGTGAATGAAGCCTTGGTTCTGCAAACAAGCCTGAGAGCAAAAGCAACCCCCCCAGTAACTGTCAGCTGTGTACACAGCTAATTATAGGGGCTGCTTTTCAGGAGCTTCATTATGTACACTCAGGAGTTTAATTCCCTCTGCACCTTCCAGAGCTCTGCACCTAACAACCCTGGGAGCCACAGGGTAACCACAGGAAGAACATCCTCCTCCTCCACCTGCTCTGCATTACTCTCCAGCTCTTGTGCAGCACAGACACCCCCAAGGCGCTGCCGCAGCTGTGGTGCCGGGGGCCTGCCTCGATGCCTGAGCTCAAATGCTTCTGCGGTGCAGCTTCGGCAGTGGACTGAGCCTCTGCAGTGCTGCACCTGAGATGAAAGACAGAGACAAGAATCACGTGTCAGAGACCTGCACACCTCTGTGGGGGTGATCTCTGTTTGTTGTTTTATTTTGGGTTTTGTTCCCAGCTGGATTTTCTCTGACTTGAATTCATGTTGTATTTGGCCCAGATGTTCAGAACTGGCCAGGGAGGCCGTGTGGCTTTGTTTTAAGGGGAGGAAGAGAAAGATGCAATTTGATGGACAGCAGGATATGGGGGTTCCCTTTCCACTCAGTATTGTGGGGACATTGTGGGGTGAGAGCCCCTACTCCGCAGCAGGGCCTCAAACCAAGCTAAGCTATTTGGCTAGCAAGGAGGCTAAGCTGAGCTTTCTTGACAGCAAAGGTAGATGAGACTGGGGAGGGGTGCGAAAGTTGCTGTCTTTATCCCAGGGTACAGGGAATTGGGTTAGACAGCAGAAGATGTGGGTTCAAATTCATCCCCTATGAGAAAGGATTTGAACCCCTGCCCTTCAGAAGCAGGATGGTACAGAGACCTGGAGGCTGAGCAAGGGGACCAGTATTTTGGTGTATTGTCCCCCTGAACTGTGCTGTGTGGCACAAGATGTGTAAATGTTCCTCAGAGGTGAGGGCTGGGTCCCAGGAGTGCTCCCCACGTACACTCCCGGGGAAAAACCAGCTGCTAGCTCATGCCGGCGCCATTCGGCTCTCAAGACACTTCCCTTTGATCCCTGCAAGTGCCCTGGAGATGCAGAGGTTTATGTTATAGCCCCCTCCTCAGTGTTCCCTACTGCTTGGTGGGGGGCTTCCCCACTCGGTGTTCAGCTCCACCCAGCCCCTCTTTCAGGTACATACACCTCTCTGTGCTCTGTAGAGACATCCAAGAGTCTGACTCTAGGTCGCGGATCCCACTGGGCAGCAAGAGACCTGAAAGAGGAGTTGGTGCTGGGATTTGCTGCTCTTCTGTCCTGAGGTCTACAGGGCAAGGCCCAGCTCTCTTGTCATTTTTATGCCTGTCTTTTCCAGCAGTTGGTACAGTGCCATCTCCACTTAAAACGTACCGCATGTCAGCTTGGGTGAGGGTGTTTGGGGAACGAGGGAGTCACCAGGACACATGCTGTGCACAAACTGTCAGGGTCGCAGGCTCTGCTCATTCCTTTCCACGAATACAGAATTTGTTCCCTCGCTTCTATGTAGCATAAGCCCAAACCAAAGTCTAAACACTGCTGGATGTGAGGGAATTAAACCCCTCAACTAGCCCCAGTCTGTTACAGGGTGAACCAAGACTTTCGGTCCAAACATTTCTGCACCTAATCTTTGCTGCTCTGGTCCCCCTGCACCCAGAGTGCTGGCCCCAGCCAAAAGTGGTTATTCAGCTGCAGGGAATCTGGTGGGGAATTTAGCAGGAGCAGGACCAGAGCAGCCTTTGGATGTCACCCGAAGAAGAGGGGAGGGCCCTGACTTTACTTTGCAAGTCCCACTGGTCTGGACTGACACTGCTTGCAGAGGTGCCTTGAGAGGTTGAGGGACTCCCTGCCACCTTGAAGGTACTGAAGGTGGTCCCTCCGCTCTGAAGGGCAGCAACACCTCCCAGGGCTCCCAGCTTGGATGCGGTCTGCAGGGCAGTCACACCAGCAGAGCCAGGGCTGTGCCTCCTGCCTTCTCTCTAGTGATGGTGCTAGCAGCCAGGGCCCTGCCAACTTTGAAGAGGAAATTTCAAAAGTTCGTTATTATATACCAGTCCAGCACTGAGCTGGGCCTGAGTTCCCAGGAGGGGGAGATAGTAGAAATTTAGTGGAAGGTACGGCAGGAGCTCCTGTTCTCCTCAGACTAAAAGGGCGAAGGGCACAGGTGGTTGACACCGCTGCTTGTCCAGAAGAAAGCAGAACCAATACAT